TGCTGCACTTATTACGGCTTGGTTTGGTTTCTTCTCCAAAAGATCTCCCCCTGGGGCTTCGCCCGATGCCGCTGGCCACCCGGAAGGTTGCGTTCGACCAGGTTGCAAACGTTGTTCCTGCTCCAGATGGCTCCAAAATGGCCCAAAAAACGGCCAAGATGGCTCGCAAGTTCGCCCAAGATGGTCCAAGATGGCCTCCAACCCGGCCCAAGAGAGTCCAAAAGTGCTCCAAGTTCGCACAAGAAGCCTCACAGACAGACCAAGACGGCCCAGGAGTCCCCCAAGAAGCTTTGAAAGCAGCTCAAAGGCCTCCGAGAGGTCCTCCATGAGGGCCCGAAGAGGCCAAAATCATTCAGTGTCATCTGGTATTGCTTCTGTTCGGCGATCCGACGGCCCAAGACAGCCAAAGATCGCCCCCAGAGCGCATGAAAGGCCTCCAAGATGGCCCCATAACGGCCCGAGTGGCTCCCAAGACGGCCTCAAGAAAGCCCCAAGGCGGCCCACGAGGCCTCCAAGACGCCCAAAATGGCCTCCAAGACGGCCCTGGAGGGCCCTGAGAAGGCCCAAAGACTGCCCAGACAGGCCCCAAAGACAGCTTCGGATAGCGTCAGACGTGCTAGGAACGCCCTACGACGGCCGAAAGGGCTCCTAAGAAGCTCTTAAATCCCCCCAAGAGGCCCGAGGCGGCCTCCAAGAGGCCCCCAGGAAGCTCCCAGGAGACCCCAAGAGTGCCGCCGTAGGCTCCCGAGAAGCCTCCTCCTCATCCTCCTCGTCCTATCCTCATCATCCTCTTTCCCCCCTCTCCCCTTATCATTATTATGATTAATATCATTATCAGTATTATTATCATCATTCATATTATTAGTGTTACTAATAGCAGTAGTAGTAGTAGTAGTAGTAGTAGTAGTAGTAGTAGTAGTAGTAGTAGTAGTAGTAGTAGTAGTAGTAGTAGTAGTAGTAGTAGTAGTAGTAGTAGTAGTAGTAGTAGTAGTAGTAGTAGTAGTAGTAGTAGTAGTAGTAGTAGTAGTAGTAGTAGTAGTAGTAGTAGTAGTAGTCGCATGTCTCGCTCTTTTCTTTGTACGATGTTTATCCATGAGTATCACCCTTTCCCTGAGTACGATTAGTATCACGCCCCACTATGTCCATGGTTATAACTCCCCCCACTATTAGTAGTATGATTACCACTCTTCTTCCGAGTACGATTATTACCCACGTATTACTCATATGATTGTCCGTACTATGAATACGCCTGGTAGTAGTAACAGTAGCCATATGTTTCGTATGGCGAGTAGTACTAGCACTGGTATTATCAGCCGTCGCCGTATTCGCATGATTCTTATTTATACTGTTACTCGCTTCCAGACTGAGAGGTATCATTAGTAGTCGTCTTAGTATGATGGTCATGATTGCCCAGACGAAGTATTAGTAGTAGCAATACGAGTAGTCAAATATTAGTATCAACCGTCTTATGAGTGCTCGCTTTCTCCTTCTATAAGTATCATTGGTATGCGTATTCGAATTTTTCCTTCTCCCCCACGATTCCCCGAAGGGTTTCCACAATGGCTCGGGGAACAGATAGACCGATGGACTGGCCGAATCATGGCCACAACGTTCGGCCACGTGGGCGCTTGCAAAAGGACAGGGGGCGACGGTGATTCGCCGTAGGCGTCTTCGATCCGCTGCCCCCTGTGCTTGCCACAAGGGTGCACGGCGTGCCAGATGTTAGGTACAGTCAAAAACCCAAATAAGGACGCGCGGTAAGGACGCAAGACCCTTAGAAGCCGAAGTTGGGAATTTTGGGGCGGCGGACGACGGAAACCCTAAGGACGCAAGGGCACCTTGACTTACCAAGGAAGAGCGCGGACACAAGAGTACCCTGAGCAAAGTCGCGCGTCCTTGTTAGGGTTACGGTTGTGGTTGATGCTTCCAGTGGGCTTTCGGCCGCTTCCGCGGGCCACCCGCAAGGACCCACCGATGACCCACAAGAAGGAGAACAAACGGAAGACTCGCCTCCAAGATGGGCCACGATGGCCGCCGAGACGTCTCCAAGATGGCCTCCAAGACGCCTCTAAGGCGGCCGCGATAGCCCCAAGACGTCCCAAAAAGCTCCTCAAACGCCGCACGAGGTTTCCAAGAGGACCTCCAGGAGGCCAAGATCTGTGATGTCCCTCAGGTGGTTCAATGATTTTAGCGTTGTCGTCGTATTGGGCTTCTGACGCTTCAAGACGGACGGACCCATGGGCCCTCAAGAGCGCCACAACACGGTTTTTAAGAGGCCCCCTAGAGGCCCGCAAGACGGCCCAAAGGGGGCCCAAGGCAGCCCAAGAGGCCCCGAAGACGGCCCCAGAGACCTCCAAGACTGCCCTAAAGCAGGCCCCAAGATGCCCTCTGAAGGCCAAGAGGTCCCATAGAGGCTCCCAGAGGCCCCTAAGAGGCTCCGACGAGCCCCAGGAGGCCGCCACGAGGCCCCCCCCCCCCAAAGCTTGGCCAGACTCTGGCCCAAAGTTTGGCCGCAAAGGCGCTTCCAAAAGGCAGGGGTAGGCAGTGGTTCGCCGCAGGCGTCTTCGATAACTCACGATGTGAAAGGTGCTTCCTTTAGGTCGGGCATGCCCCCCTAATGGCGGATGTTGGACGAAACATTCAAAATAGTCCAAAAATATTCAAAAATGGGTGCACCCAAAAAAGGACAAATTATCCCAGTGCGACCCTACCTAGGAGTTGGAGCCCCTAGGAAAGCAGCATTAGTAGTAACAGAAAAGCTAAGCTAAAGCTAAGATAAAGCTAAGCTAAAGCTAAGCTGAAGCTAAGCTAAAGCTAAGCTAAAGTTAAGCTAAAGCTAAGCTAAAGCTAAGCTAAAGCTAAGGTA